TTCATTTATCATAATGCCACTTATTGGTCCAGTTGTGAGGATTTTTGCTTTCTTTATGTTGAGGTGTAATCAATATTGAAGACCATAGTCTTTGATCTTCATTAGTAAGTACTTCTAGTGCTCTTCACTTTGAACAAGCAAGGTTGTATCATCTAGGTTATTACTGAGCCCTTCTCTATTCCTCATTCTGTGTTTTCTTCATATAGCCTAGTTTCTCAGATTATTTTCTCAGCATAGAGATTGAATAAGTATGGTATTCCTGCTTTTTCTGATTTGAAATACTCAGTATCCCTTGTTCTGTTCAAATGACTTCCTCTTGGTCTATGTACAGGTTCCACATGAACACAATTAAATGTTCTGCACTATGGAAAAGCATTCAGCTGTGTATATGATAACATGTTATGTATCATTTTGTGAAGAATAGGAATTCCAGAACATTTAATTGTGTTCATCATTCTTGGTAAAGTAGAAGGTTAGGGAAGAAGAGGAAGACCTTCAGTGAGATAGATTGCCATAGTGACAGCAACAATGATCTCAGACATGATAATTATTTAATGATTGTGAGGATGGTGCAAGAACAGATAGTGTTTCATTCTATTGTACATTAGGTTGCTATGAGTCAGAACCAACTCGAGGACCCCTACACTTTTCATCAGCGATACAATGATCTTATGAGTCCCTGGTGAGGCACTGTAGAGTAGTAACTGGAATGTTGACCTCAGGACTGGCAGTTCAAACCCATCAGTCACTCCACAGAAACCCTATACAGGATGATTGTAGTAAGTTGGGACAGAATTTAGTGGCACTTAACAACAACAATACAGTAATTTTATACCATTTTATCCCAAATAAACTCACAATTTAGACAGGAATCTATTCCACCTTCAGATTAAAAAAAAATAATGTTACATATCTTGGGAAATGCAGGTTTTAGTGTAAATAATAAATAAAATGTCATTTTCAGTTCTTTGAGGATTTTCTCTACTTCTAAACTGGAAGGAGTCCTGGTGTGCAGCTGTAGGATAAGCTCTTCACTGCCATTCACAAGGTCAGTGATTCAAAATCAACCAGCTGCTCCTTGGAAACCCCATACAGGGTCACTATGAGTCAGAACTGACTCAACAACACTTAACAACAATGAAGTAGGAATATAAATTATATTTATCTATTTATGTTTATTTTATTGTGATGTGTGTAATTAACATCATTTTATCTTTATTAAGCTGTATACCTCTAAGGCACATATATTCAAACACAGTGTACACTCAATGGATACGAAGATACACATGTGTATAAGGCCACTCAGAAATTAATTTAAAGATATCCCTTCCAAGGCTGAAACTCAAAGGGAATACATGAGCAGATATGTAATCTTGCTGGCAACCATGTCAGTCTACCAATAAGGGGAAGTGGGGAAAAAGCAGCAATGAAGATGTGGGCTGAGTGTGACCATATTCAATAGACTCCTGTTATATGGAGTGAGACCTGGTTGGCCAGCAGTATGGTGAGACCTGGGGACTCCTGAGCCCATGGACAGGGACATAACCACAGAGGACTGGAGCAGAGAGTGAAGGGTCCAACTGATATGAAGTGAGGGGAGATGTACAAGAACACCCTTACTTGCAGATAATACCCATTTGACCTAGCTTCAATGGCTGGATGATCAGAACTCAACTAGAGGAAGAAAGAAGAGGCAAAAAAGTATAATCCGCTAAAATTTTATGAACTTGATTTATCCTAATGGATTGTTGTTATATGCCGTGCAGTCAGTTCCGACTCATAGCAATTCTGTACGGGGTTTCCGAGGCTAGAAATCTTTACAGGAGCAGAAAGCCTCATCTTTCTCCTGCAGAACAGTTGGTAGTTTCAAACTGCTGACCCTGAGGTTCGCAGCCTGATTTGTAACCACTACACTACCAGAGCTCCTTTTATACTAATGGATGTAGTAGCATAAATTAGGGAGGGAATCTTCACAGCAAGGATCATTCCCACCCCTGCTGTACACAGGGTTGACAGCCATGGGCAACTTAGACACTGGCTGCTTAAAATGGGGGGACTACAATGGCACGAAGTGACTGGTTTACAAGTTTTCAAGAGGGAGTTTAGTTTCAGAGAGTGCATGAGAAGGTAGAATCTCCACTGAGTGGTTTCCAACCTGTCTGGATGGGACTGGTGAAAGGAGATGGGGATAAGACTCTTGTGGTTCAATAGTGAGTAACTGCTATCAGGACTCATTGTGAATGTTGCAAATGTAGATGTTTTGTAACAAAAAGAGGGGAGTGGTTGATCTTGTAGTCAAGCTGTGGAGGACCCTGGGACCATAAAGGGGGAAAAGCGGAGTGTGGGACCCTATCCAGAGAAGCAACTACACCTGAGATGGAGGCAAAGATGGTGATGTGGAGAGATGGAACAACTGGGGACTCTAGATTCATGGAGGGAAAGAGGCTGTGTGCTGGCAACCGGGGGAAGGCTTGCAGGGTATTGTACATCCAAAAAAGCATAGGGAATAGAAGCAAATACTGTTGAATGTGATGCATGGAGGGGATTGTAATCATTGCAATGAAACAAAATATGGTAAGATGAGTGTAAAACGATATTCACCCATGTAAACTGTCACTCAATTCACAATAAAAACTTTTAAAAAATTAATTAATTTAAAGATATAAGAGAAGTAAAATTAATGAGCACAGAAATAGTCCCTTTCTGAAATTAATCTTTTGTTACTGTTGTTAGATAAAAAGTGGAAGACCCCCAATGAGACAGAATGACATAGTGGCTGCAACAATGGGTTCAAACATTAACAATGATGATGCTGATGTCACAGGACAAGGCAGAGCTTCTTTCTGTTGTGAACACAGTTGCTATGAGTAGATGGCACCTAATAACAACAACAACATATACACAGTCAAAGATTCCCAGTGTCAATAATTTCTGCATGGATAAGACAGCATCATTGATTCTATTATTCAACTTGTGCTATCCTATCCCGAATGAGTCCACCCTCATTATCTTAAACTTATGCTCCCATTCATATTTTGGAGTTGTTTTTGTCAATTTGATGTTACGTAGATAATTTTCTTAAGAGCACAACGCTCAAAGCAGGCATACTTTACTCGTTAAGATAGGCTGTTTTTTGTTCAAAGACTTCAGGGGATAATTTTGTTTTAAGGTTTGAAGTACAAGACTATCTCAGGACACAAGGATTCTAATAGATACATAATAATCAGTCAGGGATAAAAAGAACCACCTGGGAATCTTGTTAAAATGTAGATTCTAATACAGTATATCTGGGATGGAAAAGTGAAATGCCAACAGGGGGTTAAATGTGAATCAACCAGTTCAAAGGCCTGGAAATAAAGGGATCACTCTGGTGCTTGTATCAAAATGACCCCAATTTTGGGTTCAGAAATTCATCTTTTTCTATTTGATAGGTCATGAGATTCATTGTAATTATTGCTAAATATCTTCTAAATCTGACAAATTAACATCTTATCTGTATTTGTGCAAAGAAGTTATAGGTCTGTTTTTGCTTGTTAACATTTATTATCAGGGGTCATCATATATGATTTTGTGTACGTATTGTGTAAAATGCTTGTTAAGAAAAAGATCCCTAGAGCGTGTCCTTACTTGATGGCATCTAACACCAACAATAATAGTTCTAGGTAGACCCAGGAATGCCCATTTTTCAGAAGCATCATAGGTGAGTCCCATGTAAGTAGCCTGATGGTGAAGCACATTTTAATAAACCTGGTCAAAATGATAATGTCTTTTTCCTTAGATTACCATTTTTTCAGTCTTTCTGGATGCTTTACTACAAAGTTCTACATTTGATATCACTCTAGGACACTTGGACATTTCTCTGAAAGCAAGGGGTAGAAAGAAAATGAATGCCTAAAATCTAAAAGGTAAGAAGATCTTCTGTTAAATGATGAAAAGCTAGTTCTACATGGTTTTAATGTTACATAAAGAGCTTTGTCAAGAATATACAGAATAATGTAAGGAAAACTCTAAAAAGAGGATTTCATGTGATCATAAAGCTATAAAGTAAATCCGAGTAGTATTAGCAGAATATAAGTATACTGGCAAAATGAAGTATTATTTAATACCAAATGTTAAAAGCATTTTATCTTTTACAAAGGACATGCCAAAAATATATCCTTCTAGATGTTCAGTAGTTAGATAAAAGTATCCTTTCCACATACTTGATTTGGGACCGCTTTGACCCATGGCAATAGCAAAGAGAATTCATGACACTATAAAAAATACAACAATTGGAATCTGCCAAAATAATGACAACACATGAGTCTCTAGCAGATACTTGAGTAGCTTCTTTACCACTAAAATATATGAGAGCTGGAGCTATTAAAATGAATGCTAAAAATGTTACAGTGTTCTGACCTGCAGGAGAGAATGCTGCATTACAGGGCTTAGATACAATAATATCCCTTTCAAGTGGAAACATCAAGTTCCCATTTTAAACAAACAAAGATAACAATATGCTTAAGATGAATATTAATGTCATTTATAAACATTAACTTCCTTTTATTTCATTCAATTACATTAATTAAACATTATAATTGACAAATTGCTGCTTTGCTTTTGGCAAGTTCCATACTGTAACAATAATGATGAAGGAATTGCTCTATGAGTTTCAATCTATGTTTTCAGTTAATTTGGTTGTTATTGTTAAGTGCCATAGAGTTGGTTCTGACCTGCATAGAGACCTTGGATAGGGTTTCTGAGGAGCAGCTGGTGGATTTAACTGATGGCCTTGTAGTTTATAGTCCAGTACTGATCCTACAATGATGTCTAAATAGAACTATCTGGCAAAGTAAGCTGATAGTATGAATGAACTAATCCTGAATCTATGAACAATTCACTCAGCAAAATTCTCAAGTGTAGTTCAAGTAAAATCAAATTAAACAAAATCCAAAAAGAACATTCCCACCTATATTATCCACAGCTTCCTTCCCACCTGCAGCAATTGTAATTGTTCTCACCTCTGGCAGGAGCTGTCCAGTGGGAGATGTAAGAGTAGAAGGACCACCGACCAGGGAGACCACACCATTGCAATCTACAGAACTATGCATCTTCCCGTTCATGGGCAGAATGGGGATCACCCTGGAGGCACGACTGGCCTGGCTCACGTTGCTGTGGCGCCGCTCGCCATGTTTGTGTGGCACAAACAGAGAGTCTCTTCGGCTGTCATTGTCTTCAAAGGTGCTGTGCTCATCATCTGCAAAGTCATTCTCAGAGCCAATATCCTTTGTTCGACCTCTGAAGCTGAAAAGGCTTGCCCGACTATTTCGTCTTGGGGAGAAGAGGGAGCCACGGATGCTCAGTAAAGACTATGAACAACAAGAAAAAATCCAGAGAAACAAAAACAGACGAACAAAATTAAGAAGTGACATCTGAAAAAGATGAAACTTGACTCACTGTTTCATAGTTGCATGCCTGAAGGGCAATTCATTGGGCAGATGGTAACTGCTTGTGATGATCTGGCATGCTCTAGTAGTTTTACTTTTTCTTTTTTCTCCCTTCTTTCATTTTTCACCTTTTATTTTCTCATTTTCTTTTACTTTACATATGCTTTAACATAGTTAGAAGTATCCTGCATATTGCTTTGTCTCATTATTGCTACTTAAAACTAAAATATTTCCTAGACACCTCTTTAGATTAAAGTCTCATTTAACAATCAGTGGAAAGCAATTGAATAAACACTTAGCCACACTTAAAGTTTTTGAGGCAAGTAATACACCCAATAAGGGTTCACAAAGTGACTACACAGAATCCCTGGGTAGTGCAAATAGTTAATGTTCTTGGCTGCTAACCCAAATATTAGAAGTTTCAGTCTATCCAGAGGTACCTGAGATGAAAGGTCTGTCAATGTACTTCAAAAAAATCAGCCACTGAAAACCCTCTCAAGCACATTTCTACTCAAACACACACACTCGGGTCATAAGTCACAATCTACTCCACTTCAGTTGGAGTGGCCACTCCCTAATACAGATCTTAACACAAAGAAAAAATAAAATTAATCTTGCTAGTAAGTTTGTTTGGCTGTCTGTTCCCATAAAGTTTCAGAAACCTTTTAAGAGCAGTTCTACTAAATTGATTGGGTGGCAGTGTGTTTTGGGGTTTGAGTGCTGTTGTTAAGTGTTGTGGAGTCAGTCCTGACTCATAACTACCCTGTATAGGGTTTCCAAGGAGAGGCTGGTGGGCTTGAACCACTGACCTTATGGTTGGCAGTTCAGTGCCTATCCTACAGCACCACACCAGGATTAAGAGGACCTTATTTCTCCCTTTTTCTTTGCATATTTTGTCGTGGTTTTCATGAGTAAGTTAAGTGAATCATGTTGAAAGAACTGTATGATTCATCCCCTGGTTTTCACTTTTTCCTGCCTGTCTCAGGAAATCTGAAGAGCACCATATTGTTAAAAATCTGGTTTTTGCCATGTGTCTGATCATAATCATTAAACAATTTCTAGATGGCTAAATTAAGCATGGAGTCTTGGTGTGGTGCTATAGGATTAGCAAGGTTAGCAGTTCAAACCCACCAGTCATTCCTTCAAAACCCTATAAAGGGTCACTATGAGTTGGAACTGACTCGATGGCACTGAACAACAACAACAACAACGAGTCAGAACAGACTTGACAGCGCTTAACAACAACAAATTGAGCATAATGAATCACTTTCTGTACGTTCTAGTTTACATTTATAATCTCAATATGGTGAAAACCTCTTGCTTTTGTTTCATTTTGTTGCAGTATTAATTTCTCCTTCATCTTCTAGCTGCTTATCTTTGGGATATACACCTAAATTTCCATATCTGGTAATTTGGAAGGAACGGATATAAATTCCTGAATCCATCAGTGGGACTATGACCCAGACCTAGCTAATCAGTGTATTCCATACCTCTGACCATAGTCAATGGTTTTGAGATGAGCATAAAACTATACTTGGCCCATTGAGAATCACTCCTTTTTTTTAAAACATTTGCGGGTTTCAGAAAATATTGGATACAAGTCTATATCTACATAGTTATCTTGCCATTACATGGGAGGAACTTTGGACTAAGATATGGAAAAAGACTTGGTCATTGTAACATAGCTCAAGCCCCTTGATCTAGACAATTCTGATGGTAATCACAGACATTATTTACATAATGAAGTAAATTGTCTTTCTTGCATAAGTCAGTTTGAGTTATATTTCTATAATTTTAAATTCAGAACATCTTAACTCCATCCCTTAAGGATTATTAGTTTGATACTCTTCTCTTCAGGAACGCTGGTAGCCCTGTGACCTAAGCATTGGGTTGCTAACTGCAAGGTCAGCGATTCAAACCTACCAGCCACTTTGCAGGAGAAAGAAGAAGCTGTCTGCTTCTGTAAAGATTTACAGTCTCATAAGCCTATAGGGTCACTATGAATTGGAATAGACTCAACAATAGTGGATTCTTCTCTTCAAAGAATTTAAAGCTAACTAAATTTATGACTTTTATCGATTTGTTTTTATGCTCCCTGACCAATAACTTTTCTACTCAACTAAAAAATTCTTTTTCTCAATAGTGTATCTAATTCTGTTAAATGTTTTGCAATTCTATTCATTATTTATAGGTAGCATAGTGGTTACAAATCAGACTGTGAACCTTAAGGTCAGCAGTTTGAAACTACCAGCTGCTCCATGGGAGAAAAACGATGCTTTCTGCTCTCATAAAGATTACAGCCTTGGAAATCCTGTCCACCCAGGGTCGCTATAGGTCGGAACCAACTCGATGGCACTTAACAATAACATAAACAATAAAATCGTCTAAGAAGACATCTTCCTCCCCAAACAGAAGTCATTTCTCTTTTTCTTTTTCTCGTGTTTTTTTCATTATGATCAAATACATAAATCAGATTAATTATTTTTGTTTGTTTTTCACTTACGTGATTACTTTTTAAAAGCCTCTTCTAGAATAGATACGCTCCAATTCGTTTGTAAGGAGCTCTGGTAGCGTAGCGGTCACGAATAGGGCTGCAAACTACAAGGTCAACAGTTCGAAACTACCAGCTGTTCCACGGGAGAAAGATGAGGCTTTCTGCTCCCGTAAAGATTTACAGCCATGGAAACCCTGTACAGAGTCGCTATGAGTCGGAACTGACTCCATGGCACATAACAACAACAATTCGTTTGTGTCTCTTTTTCTCCCTTTTAACAAGGACTTTGAATTAGCTCTGAGGACATGATCATTGCAGAATCTCAATCTCTGATTATCTTTGTTGTTGTTGTTGTTGTAGTTGTTATGTGCCATGGAGTCAGTTCTGACTCATAGTGACTCTGTACAGGGTTTCCGAGGCTGTAAATCTTTACGGGAGCAGAAAGCCTCATCTTTCTCCCGCGGAACAGCTGGTAGTTTTGAACTGCTGACCTTGTGGTTCGCAGCCCGATTCATAACCACTACACTACCAGTTTATCTTTAGCAAAAAACAATTCTAAATGCTTGGAAATAAGAAACAAGGTAGAAATTATACGAATGACTCTAGGTTGTTGTTGTTGTTAAGTACCGTGGAGTCAGTTCAGACTCGTAGTGACCCTGCACAGGGTTTCCAAGGCTGTAAATCTTTACGGGAGCAGAACACCTCATCTTACTCCTGCTGGTAGTTTCGAACTACTGACCTTGAGGATGGCAGCCCAACTCATAACCACTACACTACCTTATATTTTAATTAATTAGAACTAGTAGAAAGATTGGGAGAAAATAACTGATAAAATTGCACACATTTGTTACAGTTAAAATGTGAATTATGCCACATGAGAGCATAGTTTGCAGATATGGAAATGTAAGAAACTCAATTCCACTCATCTGTTAGTTAGCATCAGATTCTATTTTTTGCAGTAATTTAAAATCTCTAACAATTAAATATTATATCACAAATAAAGTTGGCCAGAAAGAACATTCAGCCATATCAAATGAATTTCTAAAAAGCAAAACTGCTTTGCATCATACAAGGAAGGAAATAATCACATAAAAAGTCAGCTGTATTTTATAAAGGCTCCAAAATAAGATAGCCAGATGTCTGGAAAATTGATTGGAGATTGCACTTTTGACTTTCTTCTCTCCCTTCTTCCATACTACCCAATCAAACTTTTTAAAGATAATTTACCTGTTCTACAAAGAGCTCTGGTAGTATAATGGTTATGAGTCGGGCTGCTAACTTCAACGTCAGCAGTTTGAAACTACCAAGCATTCCACCGGAGAAAGATGAGGCTTTCTGCTCCCATAAAGATTTACAGGCTTGGAAACCCTATACATGGTCACTATGAGTCTGAACTAATTCCACGGCACATAACCACCACCACTACCACAGAGAAAATGATAATCTTACTATAAATACCTACATTATCCTTCCCTTTTTCAGTGTGAAGTGAGGAATGGTTAGTCTTCTTCCCATCATATTACTACAAAACAGTAGTTCTCATTTGGGTTTAGGATTATTAAAAACTCTGACAGAAACTATGGAACTTTGATCAGAGTACCCGACACATTGTGTGACTTTATCAGTCTTACTCCAGGGCTTGCAAAGTGGGGTGATTATAATGTTATGCCCAGAATTCGGGGTCCCCAAAGACCACCCAGGAGCCATGTACCGATGCAAATACATAAGGGTTGTTTATTCAAGCTCGAGTCAGGTCTCTAACCTTATCTGACACTTCAGAATAGGGAAAGAGCCCCGAATTCATTGTCTGCAGGGTTTTTAAACAGCTTTCAAACAGCTCAGGTTTCTCAGCTTTACAATCTTTGGATTGGTTAACAATTGGCAAACTATAAGATGTTACAGTTTAATTGGTCAGGACTAGTGGTCTTTGTTCTTAGGCTAGGGTAAAGGAAAACAACTGGCCTCTGGCCTTGAGCTGCCTGGCTATTTATACATATATCATTTTCTTGGAGCTAGAGGACGTGTTCAGGCTAATGTACAGAATGGAGATTGACCTTGTCTCTGGAGGGAACTAAAAACTGAGGCCTTGTCTATTTAAAATGCTTTCCTGAGCCTGACTAGAGTTTAGTCAAGCAGTCTCTAGGTAGGCAAAATCAGGTAAAATCAGTTTGGTCCTTACAATAATTCGACTGGGCGGCAATAGGTTTTGTCTTTCTCTTCATTCATTCTCTTTCTCTTCTACCCCCTCCACCATCTCTCTTACCCTCTACTCATTTGCTTGACTATTTGTTTAATAGCCTAATACAAAACAAAAAAAGAGAAGTATTTACTGCTATTTTTACACAGGTACTTCTTCAGAAAAAGATGTTAAATAGAGGCCAACATTCCACATCATATAGGACAGTGATAATTAATAATGCATGATTTGCTAGGAAATAAAGAGTAAAGGAGTTAAGAAGAGAGTAGTAGGAAAATGTTATTTACAGAGAGGCGGGGCAGAGCCTAACCATTTCAAGCTTCATTACTTTGCATAGGATTAGCTCTTCAATGGATTTGTAATGCATTAAAGCAAATTAAGGATAATCTCTGTGGTTTGCATTGATATGCACTTTCAAATTTAGGCAATTTTACCTCAAGCAATTCTCCTTCCTACTCCAAAATCACTAATACAAAAAGGGTATTTAATTTCTACTGGATTTGGATTTACAAGGTTTCAAAAAGTTCATGGAAAAATCCCGTTAATCTTTTACTTCCATTTTTCCCTACAAACTCTATGAAGCTGTATTCAGATTAGTGTTCCCTCTAATAGAACTATGATGATTATGACAACAAATGGATGATGATTGGTAAGTGTAGAAATTTAGTTTTTTTTTTAAAAAGCATTTTGAATTTGAATTCAACCCTTCAAGAGTCCTGGTGTGGCACTGTGGGTCAATGGGTCAGATTGCAAAACCATTTGCACTGCAAGGTTGGTGGTTCAAGCTCACCGGCTGTTCCTTGGAAACCCTTACAGGGTCTCTATGGATCAGAATCGACTCAGCGGCACTTTACAACAACAACAAACCGTGGGTTAATGCATTGGACTGGAAAGTTTCTTTGAACTGCAAGGTCGGCAGTTTAAGCTCACCAGATGCTCCTCAGAAACCCTATACATGGTCACTATGAGACAGAATCCACTTGACAGCTCTTAACAAAAACAACAACAACAATCTGTTCAAATCCATCAGTTGCTCCTCAGAAATTCTGTACAGGGTCGCTATGAGTCGGAACCAACTTAACAACAATCTGTTAATTGGAGTCCGGGTATGGCGCTGTAGGATATGCACTGGACTGTGAATGACAAGGTCAGCAGTTTAAACTCACCAGCTACTTCTCCGAAGCCTTGTACAAGGTTCCTATGAGTTGGAACAGACTGTACTTAGCAACAACCATCTTTTAATTATGAAGTCCTAATGGTGCAGTGGGTTGAAGATTGGACTGCTAACCAAAAGGTCTGTGGGCTCAAATCTATCAGCTGCTCTCCTGGAGATTTATAGTCTTAGAAACCCTATGGCATAGTTCTACTCTGTTTTATAGGATTGCTATTAGTTGGAATTGACTTAGGTGCAGAGAGTGAGTTTATTCAATCTTCTAATTTATCGTATATCATAATGCTATTTGGATTTGGAATGAATCAGGGTGACCTATAAAAAATGTCTTGGTGTGACAATGTAAGATAAACACAGGACTGCTAACCATAGATTGCTGGTGTTGTTAGCATGGTTGAGTTGGTTCTGGTTCATAGCAATCCTATGAGGAGTGGCTGGTGAGTTTGAACTGCTGACTTTGACGTTCAAACTGACCTTGCAGTCCAGTGTTTATCCTACAATGCCACACCAGGGATCCATAGGGAGGCAGTTCAAACTCACCAGTCACTCCTTGGAAATCTATACAGGGTCCCTATGAGTCAGTACTGATTTGACAGCACTTGACAACAATAACATTATTAAATTTACATGTATTAAACATAAGAATATGTGAGACTGTCTATACTATACAACATAGTGGTTACTAGTCAGGCTTCTAACCTCAAGGTTGGTGGTTCAAAACTAACAGCCATTCTGCGGGCGAAAGAGAAGGCTTTCTGTTCCTGTATAGATTTACAGCCTCAGGAACCCTATACATGGTTACTAAGAGTTGAACCAACTCCACAGCACTTAACAACAACGCAGCAGGGTTTCTAAGCTGTAAATCTTTACACGAAGGAAGAGAAAGCTTCACCTTTCTCCTAAGAAGCAGCTGTAGGTTTGAACTAACAACTTTGTAGTTAGCATTCCAATGCTATCCTACAGCAACACTAGGATTCCTTTTTAGGAACAAGTATAATCATATATGGAGTCCTGGTGTAGCACTGTGGGTTAATGCGCTAGACTGCAAAGCTGTTTGAACTGCAAGGTCAGTGGTTCAAGCTCACCAGCTGCTCCTCAGAAACCCTATACAGGGTCACTATGGGTCAGAACCAATTCAATGGCACTTAACAACAACAACAGAATCATATATAATATATAATCATATATTAAATCCTTTACAAATTTCCTCATTAATTTTTGTCCACCTGACAAAGTGAAATATTCAGTGGTTTTGGAGTAAGGACAAACTTGAACTACCTCAGTACTTATTAACTACAGGCAATTAATTCAACTTCACAGACTTAAGTAGTAATGACCATAATAACAGACAGGGCTGCTGTGGGCATTAAATTAATAATATAAAAGAAAGCCAATCATAAAATCAGAACTCAACAAAAAATATAACCCTGCCCTTTTTTCACATCTGTAAATTGTAAATGACAATAATAGTACCTACCTAGAACTGTAGTGAGAGGGTTAATGCACTGAATATGGTAAAGTCATTATCACTATCAGAGTTGCTATTGTTGTAACTGTTAATGATATTGTATGGATAGTAAGGTTTCACACCTGGTGAAACTGTCTTCTGATGAACTACATCTTCTTGGTAATTCTTTTGGTTAATTTCAAAGACAATTAAGGACCATAGATTCAACAGCTTTTGTGGGTACATAAGTCAGAGGAGCTAGGTAAACATTTTCCTCACTATACAGGGTTGCTATGAGTTGGAACCGACTCCATAGCACACCACCACCACTATATCTATGAATTTAAGTCCTGATATGGTGCTGTAGGGTAAGCACTGGACTGCAAGGTCAGTTTGAGCAACAAATCTGGTGGTTCAAACTCACCAGTCACTCCTCAGAAACCCTATCAGGGTTGTGATGAGTCGAAACTGACTTGACGGCACTTAACAATAATATCTATTAATTAGGGTATACTTTGAAAGCAAGTCCCGAATTAAATATGAAAAACATATAATCAAGCATATTTAAACACTTCTGTATATCTATTGTCATAAATCTTCCTAAGTACATATCTAGCCAAGAATTAGGTAGAAATTTTTGCTTTAGTTCCTTTGAAACAAGGGCATGAAGAATTCATTCTTCATATGGAGTTTGTAAGTAGATGAGAACCACTGTACAGATGGTCTGAAAGAGTCTATGATCCACTGCTGCGAACCTGCTGCTCAGAAAAACCCATAATTCACAGAGTCCAGGCCTTGTTGCTATTGTTAAGTGCCATCAGGCATGGAGCTAAAAATGGATGAAAACCATCCGTTGGTAATTCCTCGTGTGGATAATTGTCCTGCAATGTTTGAGCATATAACAGTATCTCAAAGCCCCAAATTTTCCAACTGTTCTATAAAAATTCAAACGCAAAATTTTTCTGAAGTGGTAACTAAAACGTTTTGATGATCATTACTACTCTAAAAGCCTTGTGTCTTCCAAAGGGGGAGTCCAGTTTATCCTTATTACATTTTGGCAAGTTTGGGAAAAAATAATTTGCTTCAAAAACACAATTTATGTAATTTGATATTTTTACCTGGTGTGGAGACGAAAACCTCTTTTCATAGGTCAGTCTACTTCCTTCTAAGGAAAACCGGAAACCTTTCTTCCTTATGCTATCTTCAGATTCAGATTTGCGGAACCCCACTTCCTTCTCTTCTTCTCCAGATTGTTCTTTCTGTTTCTTTTTCTTCCTTCTGTTTTTCATCTCTTTTTCACTCTTTGAGCTCAACTTTGATGCTACTGAAGAACTCTCCGAGAAAACTCCGATTCCGCCAGCACCACTGAAGTCTCTTGATTCAGTGGATGCCGCTGCTGCCGCTGCCGCTGCCGCCTAAAAAAACACGAAGTCAGTAGTATTGCATACAAATGATTATAAAACTTATCCAGGTTATTTATTATCTTTAATACCATGAATATAATCTAGGAAAACATAGATATTCATTCTACTGCATATTTTAGAAACAAATATATTGTTGTTAGATCAATCACAGAATAAAGTCAACAGACACAGAGAAGATCCACGTGACTTTGATGGAGGCTTTCAAATTCTGGCCTGGCATTATGCTTTCTAATTATTTCCAGTAGTGTGAAGAAGACACTTAAATCCCACAATAGTTTTTGTTATTATTTAAACAGTATCTTGAGAATAGAAGATCTTAAGAATGAAATCTTCCTATTTTAATTTGAAGGAGCTCTGGTAGCGTAGTGGGTTATGAGCTCGGCTGCTACCTGCAAGGTTAGTAGTTTGAATCTAGTAGTCACTCTAGAAAAGGAGGCTTTCTGGTACTGTAGAGATTTATAGCCTCGGAAACCCTATACAAGGTCTGTATGAATCATAATCGGCTTGGTGGAACACAACCTGAGAGATGATTGAGTTCTATCATAGAGACACTTTAATGAGATTTCTAGTACTAGTCTAAATTGTTGAAGGAACACCTAAAACTAAATCCTTTCTCCCCAGAATATTATCTATGGACAACATTGTGAAGTATGAGTACTCCTGAACACTTAACTGTGCTCATGAGGAATCTGTACATAGACCAAGACGCAGCTGTTCAAACAGAACATGGGAACACTGAATGGTTTAAAATTAAGAAAGGTGTGGGACAGGGTTGTATTCTTTCACCATACTTATTCAACCTGTATGCTGAGCAAATAATCCGTGAAGCTGGGTTATATGAACAAAAAATGTGGCATCAGGATTAGAGGAAGGCTCATTAACAACCTGCGATATGCAGAAGATACAGCCTTGCTTGCTGAAAATGAAGAGGACTTAAAATATTTACTGATGAAGATCAAAGAACACAGCCTTCGGCATGGATTGCATCTCAATGTAAAGAAAACAAAAATCCTCACCACTTGACCAATAAACAGTATCATTGGAGAAAAGATTGAAGTTGTCAAGGACTTCATTCTTCTTGGATCAGCTATCAACGCTCATGGAAGCAGCAGTCCAGAAATAAAACAATGTATTGCATTAGGCAGATCTGCTGCACGAGATCTTTTCAAGTGTTGAAGAGCAAAGATGTCAGCTAGAGGACTAAGGTGCGCCTGACCCAAGCCATGGTATTTTCAGTAACTTCACATGCGTGCGAAAGCTAAACAATGAATAAGGAAGACTGTAGGAGAATTGATGCTTTTGAGTTATGATGTTAGAGGAGACTATTGGAAGTGCCATGGGCTGCCCACAGAACCAACAGATCTGTGTTGGAAGAAGTGCAGCCAGAATGTTCCTTGGAGGCCAGGATGGCCAAACTTCATCTGTCATACTTTAGACATATTGTCAGGTGTGACTAATCACTGGAGAAAGATATCATGTTTGGTAGGGTGGAGGGTCAGAGAAAAAGAGGAAGACCCCAGCAAGATGGATTGGCAAAGTGGCAGCATCAATGGGCTGAAGCATGGCAACGATAATGAGGTTGGCCCAAGATCGGGCAGTGTTTCGTTCTGCTGTGCATAAGGTTGCTATGAGTCGGTACCAACTCAATGGCACCTAACAACAAGCCCACTTTCCCAAGCATGATGTCTTTCTCCTGGTACTGATGCTCCCTCTGAAGTTTGACACCATCCTGGCTTCTAAGGAGCATCTGGCTGTACTTCTTCCCACATAGATTTGCTTGTTCTTCTGGTGGCCCATGGTGCTTTTAATATTATCATCCAACACTGTAATTTAGAGGCCACTCATATTGACAGTAATCATCAAAATATAACAATAATCTTTTAATAATAAAACTTGCTCCTAGCACTTTGACATGATTTAAATGTCAGACTGCCCCTGCCAATTTTGTATTCAACACCAGGCCTGAGAATTGAGATAACAAAAAAACCCACAACAAAAAAGGTGCTGTTTTTGTTAAGTATACCTGAGCTTCTTCTTGTTGCTTTTTTAACTGTTCAAGCATTTGCTGAAATTCAGCTTCTTTCTGTTCCGCCTCTTCTAGTGTTGCCTGATTCTGTTCCTCATAGGCCATGGCCACCACAGCCAGAATCAAATTTATTAAGTAAAATGAGCCCAAGAAAATGACCAGCACAAAAAATATCATGTATGTTTTCCCAGCAGCACGCAGGGTCTGCAAGAACAGAAGAGATAGTTTATTAAATTTTATACAGGATGTTACGAGTTTACACTTTGTTTACTGTAACAAAATATTTTATAGCAATTGACTTAAATCTTAATATTTCATGCTTCTTAGAAAAATCATCTTCTTGATCCTCACCAGTTGATAAAGGTTTTCCCAGAAGTCTTGAGTCATGAGTCGAAATAAAGACAAGAAGGCCCAACTAAAGGTGTCAAAACTTGTGTAGCCATAGTTGGGGTTTCTACCAGCCTTCACACAAACGTATCCTTCTGGACACTGGCTGTAATTAGGTAGTGAAGAGAGAAGAATTCAGTAACTGCAAGTTGGCTTGCTGACTTTTTTAGCTGCCAATCGTTACTTCATATAACACTAAGGAAACAGATTTCTGATAGCTGACCTAGGACTTACCGCAACACTACTTAGACTGGCTTATACAACAGAATTAGTTAAGTCTAATTTTGGATTCCCCTGTGATTCATTATCATCATGCTTATCAAATCTCTATATAAAACAATCCTGTAATGATTAATATCTTTTGGTACTTGTGTACATGAACAGATAAATAAGTCCATAGGGAAAATTGAATGTTTTGCTCATGATATCTGGCTGCAGAAGTGTGTGTGATTGTAAGGGTAGGACACAGAGGTGAAGCAGGGATAATTTGATGGACACACTGAGAAGTGGGAATGGCCCTATAGGATGTGCATTTGATAATATGTCCCTGATTGTCAAACTGACCTGCCTACTTCTGGGATCAATGATCCATGATCTTGGGTTAGTATCCTAATTTTGTTAGTCAATGACCAATGATCTTGGGTAAGTTTCCTATTTTGGCTAATCTTTGGTAACTTTAAATCTAAGAATGGGTTAATAATAAAACATGACTCTCAACTTTTCAAGAGTTGATTGAGATATTTTATGTCTTTGTTGTTAGGTGCCGTAGAGATGTTCCAACTCGTAGCAACTCTGTGCACAACACTAGGAAACACTGCCCAATTCTGCACCATCTTGACAATTGTTATGTTTGAGTCCATTTCTGCTGCCACTGTACTAATTCCCCTCATTAGAGAGCTTCACCTTTGTCACTGACCTTCCACTCTAGCAAGAATAATGTCCTCCTCCAGGAACTGGAAGGAGCTCTGGTAGCGTAATGGCTATTAATTGGGCTGTGAACCACAAGGTCAGCAGTTCAAAACTACCAGCTGTTCCACGGGAGATAGATGAGGCTGTCTGCTTCTGTAAAGATTTACAGCCTCAGAAACCCTGCACAGGGTTGCTATGAGTCGGAACCGACTCCACAGCACATAACAACAACAACCAGGAACTGGGCTCCCCTGAAGTGTGAGAGATGAAGTCTCACCATCCTGGCTTCTAAAGAACATTCTGGCTGGATTTTTTCCAAAATAGGTTTCCTTATTCTTCTGGCAGTCTATTGAACTTTAAAAGTTTTTCTCCAACACCATAACTTAAATGCATCAATAATTCTATGGTTTTCTTAGTTCATTGTTAAACTTTCACATGCATATGGGGCTATTGAAAATACTATGGTATGGGTCAAATGTGCCTTAGTTCTCAAACTGACATACCTATTCTCGAATACTTTGAAGAGGTTTTGCAGATTTGCTCAATGCAATATGCTATTTGATTTCTTGGCTACATTTAACATGAGTGTTTAGTGCTTCTAAGCAAAATGAACTCTTCGACAACTCCAAACTTTTCTCCATTTATCATAATGCTATTTTTTGGTCCAGTTGGGAGGATTTTTGTTTTCTTCAAATTGAGGTGCAACCAACAGTAAAGACCGTGGTCCTCGATCTTTGTCAGTAACTATTTTAAGCCCTATTAAACTTTCAGCAATTAGTCTTCCTCAAATCCTGATGTCACATTCTTCATATAATCCAGTTTCTTGGCTTATTTGCTTAGCATACAGATAGAGTAAGTAAGGTGCACTTTGCCTGATTTTAAACTATTTTAAAGCATTTTGTGTCCACTTGCTCAGTTCAGGCGACTACCGCTTAGTCTCTATACAGGTCCCTCATGAGCACAATTGTTCTGGAATGCCCATTCTTTGCAATGTTATGCATAGTTTGCTATGATCCACACAGCTGAAAGCCTTTAAATAGTCAATAAAGCATAAGTAAACATTTTTTTTCTGATATTATCTGTTGTTAGCCAAGATCCAACTGACCTCAGCAATGATAGCTCTCATTCCACATACTCGTTTGAATCTGGCTTGAACCTCTGGCAGTTCCATGTTGATTTACTGTTGCAGACTTTTTTGAATTATCCTCAGCAAAATTTCACTTGCACGTGATAGGAATGATATTGTTTGATGATTTCTGCATTCTGCTGGGTCACCTCTTTTTGGAATGGGCCTAAACATGGATCTCTTACAGTCGGTTGGCCAGATAGTGTCTTCTAATTTCTTAGCACTGACGAGTAAGTGCCTCCAGTGATGCATCAGTTTGTTGAAAGGCGTCAATTTGTATTCCATCAATTCACAGATGCTTATTCTTTGCCAATGCCTTCAGTGCACTTGGACTTCTTCCTTCAGTCTCATTGGCTCTTGATCATATGCTACCTCTTGAAATGGTTGAATATTGACCATATCATGTTGGTACAATGACTCTGTGCATTCCTCCCATCTTATTTTGATGTTTTCTATATTGTTCAATATTTTGCTCATAGACTCTTTAAATATTGCAAATCAAGTCTTGACATTTATCTTCAGTTCTTTCAGCTTAAGAAATGCTGAGCAAGTTCTTCCCATTTGATTTTCTAACTCTAGGTGTTTGCACATTTCATGCTATAATAAGCTTGACTTTGTTTTCGTAAGCTGCCTTTGAAAATTTCTGTTCAGCTCTTTTATTTTCTAATTTATTTCATTTGGTTTAGCATCTTTGCCCTCAAAAGCACATTTCAGAGTCTCTTCTGAAACCCATTTTTTTTTTCTTGTCTTCTTAATGACCTTTTGCTTTCTTCTTGTATGAAGTTTTTGATAATATTCCACAACTCTTCTGATCTTTGGTGTTTAGTGTCTAATGAATCAAATTGTTGTTGAGATGGTCTCTAAATTAAGATGAGATATATTTAAGGTCAAATTTTGACTCCCATGGAATTGCTTTAATTTTCTTCAGCTTCATCCTGAACTTGCATATGAGCAATTCACAGTCTGTTACACAGTCTATCCTTGGCCTTATTTTGGCTGATGATATGGAGAGATTTTTCACCATCTCTTCCCACAGATATTTCAATTTGATTTCTGTGTATTCCTTCTGGATATGTAAATGTGTATAGTTGTCTTTTATGTTGTTTAAAAAAAGTGTATTTTCAATGAAAAAATCATTGGTCATGCAATCTCCAGCATCATTTCTAACTCCAAGGCCATATTTTCCAACTACTAAACCTTCCTCTTTGTTTCAAACCATTAAATTCCAATCACCAATAACTATTAACACATCTTTATTGTATGTTTCATCAATTGCAGAATTAAGAAGTTGGTGGAATTTTTTCAATTTCATCATCATTGGCTTTAGTGGTTTAATATGAATAATAGTGGTATTATTAATGGTAAATTTGAATAATAGTGGTATTAACTGGTGTTCTTTGTCGTCATATGGATTTTATCCATCATAGACACCAGTGTACCTCAAGATAGATCTTGAAATTTTCTTTTTGATGATGAATGCTAATCAATTCCTCTTCAATTTGTCATTCCTGGCATAGTAAACCATATGATTATTTGACTCAACATGGCCAATACCAGTCCATTTCAACTCACTGATGCCTAGGATACCAAACTTTATGCATTCCATTTCATTTTTTATAACTTCTAATTTGCCTAGATTCACACTTTGTACTTCCAGGTTCTAATTACTAGTGGATGTTTACAGCTGTTTTTCTTCATTTTGAGCTGTGTCTCCATCAGCAAGTGAAGGTCTTGAATGCTTTATTTCATTTGTATCATCATGGTTATGGTCACTCTACTTTGAGGAGGCAGCTGTTTCTCAGTAGCATTGTGAGTACCTTCCAATGTGAGGGGCTCATATTCATGCACTACATCAGACAGTTTTCTGTTGCTATTCGTAATGTTTTCATCTTCCGGTACTCTATCTAACAATATTCCACTGCTATTCATGAGGTTTTCAGTGACTAAATATTCAGAAGTTGTCTGCATCACCTTCTTCCTAGTCTGTCTTAGTCTGGAAGTTTTGCTGAAACCTGTGCACTATGGGTGACCCTGCTGGTATTTATAATACTGGTGCCATAGCTTCTAGCATCATCCCAACACACAAGCCACCCAAGTATGACAAATTGATAGACAAGTGGTGGGAGATATTGTATGTAAAGCATTTATTATAGTACTGACTGTCAGTCTGATTTGCATATTATCTGAATCTGGAATAAAAGTAGATTACCTTTATCTATTGTTTCTCAGCTGTTTGGCTAAAATCAAGTGTAGTATCTATTTTTATCAGTTTAATATCTAATATGTTCTCTATCTGAGAACAATGTATTAAATAGATTTTTGAGCAATGGAGATAGAGCTGTGTTTTGAGCCCACCAGCCGCTCCAAAGGAGAAAGATAAGACTGTCTGCTCCTGCTAATATGTAAAGTCTTGGAAATCCTACACAACATTACTGAGTTGGAACAGAATGGATGGCACCTAACAACAATGACTTTTATTATAGGAGTCAAATGCAAAGCCTATTACCATTGTTTTGTTCCAAGTATTAACTACTAATATAACCAATATAATCTTCCATAGAAAAAACACTAGATGTCTGTCTAGACTTCTGGTGGTTGTGGTTATATGCCCTGGAGTCATGGTAACCCTGCATAGGGTTTCTGAAGCTGTACATTTTTACAGGAGTAGAAAGCTTCATTTTTCTCTCCAGGAACTGCTGATAGTTTCAAACTGCTGTCCTTGAAGGCCAAGTCATAACCACTACACTACGAAAACTCCGTGTTTATACTTCTAAACCTTGCCAAACAGAAAAGGTACCTATTTTTCTGAATTCTTATAGGCTTTATCTCTTATTACTAAAAGGTTTCCATGACATCAGTCATATTTTAAATTACTTACTGAGTACTCCATGAGCCATATATACATTTATACATTTAATACAGTAAATCTACTTAATCTCCACAGTAACGTTATTGTCATACCTATTTATGGCATATGGAAAACAAGGCAAGGGGAAGTGATGCATTATGGTGTAGGTGGATTTTGAATTTACACAGTCAGACTCTCCCGTCTATGATCTTAACCACTTTGCTAAAATATGCTGGACAAACCCTAACCATGCCTTAGATAGTGACAGTATCATTTTAAGTCCCTGGGTTCCACATTAGCATATATAAAAATCACACTTATAAGAGTACATGCTTATGAATATTATTAACTTAAGCCTCTTATATCTAGTACTTGGTTTCATTCTTTTTCATTGTACTTATTTGGAAGATTAGATGTGACCTAGTATGGAAAAATAATTGCTGCATATGAATGTGTGCAGGAGGTGAGAATCCACATTTAACCCAGCTATTCTGGGAGTCAACATGAAGTGGAATTAATGGGGTCTTTGAATAAGGAGTTAGTGGAGGCCAGGTGGGTGGGAGTGGCATGTTATTAAGGCCGATGGAGCACTGTGCATTGAGACTTAATACAAAAGCATCACTTACCCAGCATCTGAGCTGTTGCCACAAAGCAGAGCATCATTTTGCCCTTCCAAAAAGTAAAAATGACCTATTTAAAGAGCAAGGAACAAAAAGAAGTATTAAAAGTCCCAGAAATGCTTCAACCATTGCATCTAGGTAATAACACATATTAAATTATTTCAATCATAAGGAAATAGATTTTGAAAAAAATGAATCTGTACCTGGCTTAATGGAAAGATATTTTCATAGCAATGAAATAACAAATATCAAAATACAACATTTTTGGATAATCAAATATTCAATAAAGTCTATTTTAAAAGGAAAAAAAAATCACAAAGAATAATTATTTTAGTTTCTGATATCACCATTTATTGTAATTGAAAGTTCAAACTGTTTGGGATACTTCAAGAAAGAACGGTTAATTTAATGCTGTTCCCCTGGCCCAAAATTGAGAAAGGGAGAGGAAATCCTTGTTATATTTAAAAGTCTCCATGCAAACAAAGTATTATTTTACAAATACTCTTTACTTGTGCTCAGAAAAGACTCTGAAAGTTTAATTAATTTTGTCAGTTTAAACTTAATTTCCCATGAGAAGTGGACTTCAGTGTTTGTTCCTTCTTTTCTTAGGAAGCTGTATACCAATGTTTTCTTTGGGTTTAATTTAACTGTTGTTGTTGCTAAGTATCATCAAGCTGATTCCGAGGAGCTTGATTTGAACCACTGACCTTGTAGTTTAAAGTACAGTGCTTATTAATTTGCTTCTTTGGAGATATGTATATATTTTTAAGTAATTTCTATTTTCAGGATCTACCATATATATAATTTTGCTAACTTGTAAATGTGGTCTCAGGAATAATACACATATATATTTACATATGCACATGTACACATATATAAGGAACTCTGGTAGTATAGTGGTTACGAATCAGGCTGCTAATCTCAGGGTTAGTAGTCTTAAATTACCAGCTGTTCCGCAGGAGAAAGATGAGGATTTCTGTTTCCATGAAGATTTACAGCCTCAGAAATTCCGTGCAGGATCACTATGAGTCAGAACCGACTTCACGGCACATAACCACCACTACCACCACCACCATGCACACAAACATACACATATATTTTATCATGTTCATTCACATAAGGAAAAAGGAGTAAGATGTGTCACTTTAGGATAAGCACTGGACTGCTAACTGTAAGATTGGTGGTTCAAACCCATCAGCCACTCCTCTGAAACACTATACAAGGTTGTTACAAACAAGTAACCAAGTACACAGCACTGAACAACAACAACATAAATTGGCCTGAGCCATTTGGTTCATATAAAAATTGAAATAATTTCTCTGGTGATTTTAAAAAAAATGTATTTAAAGGACTAAACAATATTTAAAGGACTTAATGGTGAAATGAATATATCTTACTTTTATCCTCAATATATTCATCCCAGTTAAACATGCTCACTGTTCTATTGGTAATGGTACCATTCACATCCAATGAACTATTAAAGAAGGAAGTGATGTTTATTTCAAAGGTAGAATTATCTGGAGGCCACTGCAAACATTTATTCCTCAGGTTGCCCATGAATAGCTGTAGACCTATTAGTGCAAACACACTCAGACAGAACACAGTCAGGATCATGACGTCAGAGAGCTTCTTCACTGACTGGATCAGGGCCCCTACGATGGTCTTCAGGCCTACACATAAAACCAGAGAGAGAAAGTTATACATACCATTCAATAGTGACGGTACCAACAAAAACATTATGAGCTTTTCCTAGGAAATAAAGATATCATGCAGAATGCCAACAATATTCATCTAATGTTTATGATTGAACAACATTTTCATGAAAAGCCTGCTAGCTGGTGAATATGAATGAGTAGCAGAACTTGTGTATTCATTAGAACACAGTGAATGGAAATGAACAAAATGTGTATTTCCAAACTCCTTTGAGCAAAAGAAATGATTTTGTTATTCATGCTTAAACATCAACCTTGTGTAAATATGTTGCCTTTATTTGCAGATGTCTTACTCCTTAACACCTTATTGATTTTAGTAAAGGCTATATGAATATAGCAGTAAGAATTCTAAAGTCAAAGTATTATGAAATCATTATATATATATATATATATATATGAATTCTAAAAGTTTGGATATTGGTTAAAGAAGGAAGACATCTGAAAATTAAGCCTCATGCAGCACACATGCTGTTCCTTGCTATCCCCTTCATTTACCTCATTAAAAAACAAAACAACAACAACAACAACAACAAAAAACAGCTTTAGACATTAGTGGTCAAATCGGCACCCATTTAAATGCCTCCATTTAGCTTCTATACAGAAAGCTTGATGCTATAAGATGCAAACCATGTAGTCTGTTGCTGCAAATGCCTCATGCAAAAAAATTGTTAAACTCAAAGGCTGACTTAGGACAATTTTAAAGAAAACAAATAGCAAAAACAAAGAATCAAATCCATCCAAAATAAGATGTACTGATTCTTGCTTTTTTACATATTTATTTGCAATATGTGACAAACAACAAGGCTTATGCACAAAAGCCATGATATCGGTACCAATATAGCTTAAGTCAGCCTCAGTGTTTAACCTAGCTCTCACCTGGAATGACTGAAATTGTTTTCAATGCTCGGAGAACTCTGAATGTTCTCAACGCTGAGACATTGCCCAGGTCCACAAACTCTGTCACATATCTGTAGTAGGGGAGTTCACACACAAACACAATAACACACAAGAAAAGTTGGAGATATAAGGGGCCTGCCACCTTACACCTGTAACTTCTTACCTGGAATTACAGAAATAGTTTTCAAAGCTCTCAAGACTCTGAAAGTTCGAAGAGCTGAAACATTGCCTAGGTTTACAAATTCTGTTACATACCTGTAGAATTAAATCAGCGTTATTCAAAAGTTTGCCAACTCTAAATCTATGTTGGTCTTTCATCAAGACCTTTTCAACTTCAATAACTGTTGCCACCAAGATTTCCCAGTTAAGAGAAAATTGATACTGTCATCAATCATAATCTCTAAATTTAGGGGAACCTAATTTCATTACTTTCCAGTAGATATTGTGACTAAAGCCATATTATTTACTATGAAAATCTCTAATTTCTCCAAATTGGATTATTGGATTGACAGAAAAATATTCTGAATCCACAGATAATTAAGAAAAATGCTTGATCTGTCAAGGTTAGACACCAAGAACAAATAAAGTGTAGGCTTCCATCAGTGATTTACTTTTCTAGGATGAAAAATGTAAACTACTTACGCAAAAGTAATGACTGTGAAATCCAACCAATTCCAGGGATCACGTAGAAATGTGAAATCTTCTAAACAAAAGCCCCTTGCAAGTATTTTTATAAGTGATTCAAATGTATAAATTCCTGTAAATGTGTACCTGAGAGAAAATAGTCAAACCAGCTTTAAAGATCTAGTAAGTAATTTACATGTATGTCTTCAGGAGATTTATACAACAAACCAAAATTTGAAACCTCCTTGTTGGTCTCTCTATCATATAGACTTTAGGAAGGGTTTCAGGTAGAAAGACATATTAAATTGTGAAAGATATTCTTGTTGTTGTCTTTACCTAAGTGAATCTTGTATTTTTGTCATTGACTAATTTGAAAGATCCAAATTATATGACTTGGTAAGCAGGTATTTTCTGTAAAGATTTACAGCCTCGGAAACCCTGTACAGGGTAGCTATGAGTCGGAATCGACTCCATGGCACATAATAACAAAGAAGGTATTATCTGAATGCACTGGCTTTAAATCTCTATATTTCAAAATAGTCTTATTATAAAATGATTTAAACAAATAGATACTAATCCAAAAATAATGAGGCATTTGTGTTTCACAAAACTGCACCAATAAGAACCATGAAATATATATAGGGCTAAAAGAAGCTTATGAAAAAAAACTGCAATTCAAATATAATGAACTTTTTCCACTAACATTTTGAAACCTCATCATACACTAGTGCAATACAGGCAGTCCCTGAGTTATGAACAAAACTCAATACTTACACTGTCAAAAGTCTTTAAGTGGAATTTGTAAGAGAAATGGAACAGGTGTGTATGGTTCTTGTTTGGTGGTCGTGGTAGCTGTGTAGGTACCCTGTATAGGGTATCCAAGGCTGTAAATTAATGGGAGCAGAAATCCTTATCTTTCTCCCACAGAGTGACTGGTAGCTTTGAACTACTGACCTTGCTATTAGCAGCCCAACTAGTAACACACTATGCTACCTGGACTCCTTTCATTCTTTTGTAGCCTTACTTTAGTGCAAGAATAGGATTCCAGCCTTTTCACTAATTTAAAAGCTGCATGTGTAGCAAGTTTCAAAGTTAGGACATATTTTGTTATGTGCCATGGAGTCAGTTCCAACTCATAACGACCCAGTACAGGGTTTCTGAGGCTGTAAATCTTTATGGGAGCAGATAGCCTCATGTTTCTCCCATGGAACAGCTGGTAGTTTCGAATAGCTGACCATGAGATTAGCAGCGCGATTGGTAACCACTACGCTACCAGCACTCCTTTAGGGCAAATTTACTTAACATAAATTAGAGTACTGGTGTGGCACTGTAGGATAAACACTAGACTTTGAACCACCAGGTTGGCAGTTCAAATCCACCAGCTGCTCCTTGGAAATCCTATATAGGGTTGGTATGAGTTGGAACCAACTCAATGGCACTTAACAACAATAACAAAGAGCAACTACTTAACAACAACAACAAAGAACAACTAACTAGGAGTTGACCCTGAGACTGCCTTTGCTAACACTGTGATATTCATGAGTAAAAGAACATATAAACTAGGTATGATTATTGTCAGTGGATATTAGCAATCACTGATGACCTTGAAAAATATGTGAGACTCCCAAAAAAAGATGAAGGGCTTCAAATATTGGCAGTTAAACCAGTGCAGTAAATGAGGCACCACAAGCTTTGTCTTAGAAAGAGTTAGTGGTTGAAATGAACTTGAATCAATCTCTGGCTTAAAGTAATTAGTACTATAAGATACACAAATGGATGAGGTATCAAGATGTTAAATGCGCAATTTGACCTATAACAGGGATATCAATATTGAAAGACATTAAAATTTTCTACTTACTCCACATTCTTTGTCCAGTCTGGAGGGTTACTCATGGTCATAAATACACAGTTGGTCAGAATAGTGCACATAATGAGCACATTGAATAAAGTGAAGAATATAGTCAAGGAATACAAAGTTCAATGAATAGCTTATTGTCATGCACAATCATGCCATTCACCACCAGGACATTTATAACTTTGGTGCTCTTATTTTATCCTTGAGTTGTTTTTGTTTTCACCCTTCCTGTAATTCAGCAATCCATATGTAGGCCATGCTGCTAACTACTATAAGTACTTTTAACGTGGTGCTGTGGGTGATTGCGTCAGACTATAAAGTCGTTTAAACTGTAAGATTGGTGGTTCAAGTTCACCAGCTGCTCCTTGGAAACCCTATACAGAGTTGCAATGGGTCAAAATTGACTCAACGACATTTAACAACAAAAGCAACAACTAGCGTGGTGTTGTAGGATAATCACCAGACTACTAACTGCAAGGTTGGCGGTTCAAACCCACCAAGTGCTCGTCAGAAACCATATAGAGAGTCACTGAGTTGGTATCGGCTTGATAGTACTTAACAACATTAAAACAAAGCCATTAGAAAACTTACTGTGTGCCATAGAGTTGATTCTGACTCTTAGTGACCCTAGAGGCCAGAGTCGAACTGTCCCATAGGGTTTCCTAGGTTATCTTTATGGAAGCAATCTTCCGTTTAACAGCTGAGTGCTCAATCATTGCACCACCTGAGTGACTTATTAAAAATATTAAAGGCAGGTAAATAAGTTCACTGGAGAATAAATAATTTATCAATTCTAGTTTTCTTAAAGAAAGACTCAGCTGAACAACTGAAGTGCAAGCTCAGCTATCCAGGAAAACCATAGCAAAAATTCACTAGGAGAATCAAGTAATCAATCAAATGCCTCCTAATACCATTTTAAGGTCACCCTGGAGGAATGCCTTACAATAAGTGCAATGTTACTAAGATATTCTATATTTTAATATACTGTAATTGCTCACAGAATTCTAAGATGGCTGATGTTAGTACTGGGATTTCATGGATTTGACAGGGATCAAATTACTTATTAAATTCTCTAAACCTCAGTTAATTTGGTTATTAAAAGTGAGAAAAAAATAACATTTTTCCAAGATTTCTATAAGAATCAAATTAGATAAAATATACTAAAGCTTCTACAACTTAAAATGCCTGAGCCATAGTAGATGCTAAATAAATTGCTTCTCTTGTTTTCTGAATCATAGCAAATACTGCTTATAACAAGCTTCTGGTTTGTTTGACCCTATGCCACTTTACCTTTGGGACATAGTCAAAGTCCTTTAGCTTACTTTATACTGAAAAACAGCAACATTTGGTTAAGAAAATATTAAGTAATTAGATAATTGAAATAAATTCTTTCATATTTTATAAAAAGCATAATAAGGATTCAGTTGTGATCATGTAAACTATCAACTTTTGTCAATGAAAAATTTGACACAAAGATAAAAATCCCAGACAGGGCATTTTTATTCCCTTCTTACTCTTTTTTTTTTAAATCATCACACTTTTTTTTGCATAACACCATATCAACACAATTTCAAGGGCAGTACCACAGGACAGTGAGTATCATCTTAACCTAGAAAGGAAGCTTCTTTGAACCTGCAAAAGGCTTATCTAAACAATGATTCATTTTCGCTTTTCTGGCAGTGATGTAATGGTTGTTGCTGTTAAGCGCCATAGAGTCACTTTCAACTCATAGCGAACCTGAATAGGGTTTCTGAGGAGCAGTTGGTGAGTTTGAACCACCAATCTTGAGTTCCAAACCGACCTTGAGGTTGTGTGTTAATCCTATGGCACCAAATATAAGGCGCATATTTAATTTTCAATTTCTCCAAATGCATCCTTTAGGAAAACAGTCACAAATGAGTGATGTGGGTCAGCCACCTGAGGGCAGTACAACCTAAAAAAACACAGAAAAACACCATTTTGAAGAAATAACACACATTTTATCTTACTGTTTAAACCAAAAAAATAATAAAATTAAAGATGGCATGGTATTACTATGTTAAATTACAGGATCCCTTTGTATCTGGTGGTCTGATGCGTTCTACTAAAGAAAGTAACAGAACTGGAGGATTAGCACCATCATAAATGCATGTTCATCAATCTCCAGGGTCTTCAACACAATCAAAATTTCTGTCTCTCTATATTTTTCTCTTCCTTCACGACCAGGATTCTCTTTTCCAAACACAACAACAATAAAAACCAATTGCTGTCAAATCAATTCTTACTCTTAGCAAACACACACGTTATAGAGTAGAACTGAGTTCCATACGGCTTTCTTGGCTGTAATCTATATAGAAGATGGCCAGACCTTTCCTCTCTGGTGCCACAGGACAGATGTGAAATACCAATCTTTCGGTTTACTTGTTGAGCACAAATTGTGCCAGCCAGGCATCTTGTGTCTTTATTCTTGTTAAGCACCATTGAATCGGTTCCAACTCATAGTGATCCAGCACAGGATTTCTGAGGCTGTAAATCTTTACGGGAGCAGAAAACTTCCTTTTTCCTCCGCAGAATGGCTGGTAGTTTTGAACTGCCGACCTTGAGGTTAGCAGCCAGATTCATAACCACTTCGCTACCAGAGCTCCTTTTGTCTTTTGTTGTTATGTGCCGTGGAGTCAGTTCCGACTCATAGCGACCCTGTACAGGGTTTCCAAGGCTGTAAATCTTTACGGGAGCAGAAAGCCCTATCTTTCTCCCACAGAACAGCTGGTAGTTTCGAACTACTGACCTTGTGGTTTGCAGCCCGATTCGTAACCACTACGCTACCAGAGCTCCTTACACTACCAGAGCTCCTTTTGTCTTAGAGGGTATCAAATCGGGATTCTCAGGTTCCAGGAACCTTCTAGCTTTTATTTTTTGGAGTAGAAACAATAGTTTTCATGAGGTTTTCAAATAAATATATGATCTTTCCACAAAAGATAAAATTCTAAAGTTCTGTTTTATGAGCATTCTTAATTCCATTTCATCATTCAGATTTAGGACAAAATCAATTTTTTTTTAAATTCATCCAAATCTTCCCTGATTCATTATTTTCTCATTGATTAACCATATATTTACTCAATATGTATAATCTCAATGCTTATTACAAATAGAGCATCTGAATAATTTCCTAGTTTTCCATATCATTTCACAAATAAAATATGTTCATATGCAGGGTATATAATTATTTTTAAACATAGCAATTTATGGAAGGATTTATCAGAGAACAGATTATAAATACCGTTATCTGTCTGTTCCTAATGTTATACTAACTCAAACACATGTTTTCTTTATCACAACTGGGTTCTCTTCCTTGGAAAACAATGATTTTTAGCAATAAAAACAATATATTAGGCACATCAAAGCATTTTAGTTTTAAAAGCATATCTTGGCAAAAGTAAAGAATATACTATTGCTTAAAGTAATTCATAGGAGTCCTGGTGTGGCGCTGTGGGTTAATGCGCCAGACTGCAAAGCCATTTGAATGGCAAGGTTGGCGGTTCAAGCTCACCAGCTGCTCCTCGGAAACCATATACAGGCTCGCTATGGGTTGGAACCGACTTGATGGTACTTCGCAACAACAACAACAACAACAAGGTAATTCACAAGAAATTATAAAATCTTAAATCATTAAAATGTTTATGTCTATTCAAAACTTGGGGAACAAACAAATTGGAGGTAAAGAGAAGACTGAATTCCAGAATGTCAGTCTTCTGTGGGCATTGCCATGCAAGCCTGGGCACATGCTTTGTACCTGTAGTTATTGATCTCCTTAATTTTTAACCTTATCTACTTTTTACCTTGTCTAATTCAAATATTTTGTCATTCCATTGTCACTGGTGAGTTTATATACTGCAAGAGCCACACCCTGAGCTGACCGTATCATGGAAACCCAGGCAATGACTTGAACATAAGAAGGAATATTAAATGTTGCTCTATCTGAGAATTTGCTCAATTTGTCCTGTTTCTCTTTCCTTACCGCTGGTTCTGGATGCATATCAATCCCCATCCCAGGTTTTTGTGCTCTTGTAAGTGCCCTTGCCTGTCACGACCACAGCCTCCCAGCCTTTGCTTCTTTCACCTTTTCAGGCCCAGCTACCAGCCAGACTGCTATCCCTGGTTTGGAACAAAGCTTCTCATTTCTAACTACTCTATCTAAATTCCAGGTGCAAACCTAATTAACATCTTCCACAAAAGTGTCACAAATCCAATTTCCAGGAAGTAGATTCTTCAAATAAGGAGAATGAAAAATAAAATAAGCAAGTGTATGGGCAGAAAGACATGAAACCTTTGGATTGCAACTACAGTAGCAGAATCTGTTCCTTTACTGACACATAGGTACCACAAAGAGAGATGAAAGGAGGGAGGAAATATGGAAGGCAGGAAAAGGAAGGAAAGAAGGAGAAATAAAGAGAAAAAAAAATCAGTGGGAATGCTGTTGGGAAAAATTTTTTACAGAGGACTTCACAGGCTATTTATATATACAGTCGCAGTTTGAAATATTTACCCGTTTAAAGCTTTCAAATACTGAAATGAAAAAGTAAAGAAGTAACAGAATTCTGACTCAAATATATAAAAGTATACATTTCAAATTATGTATGTATCTTTCAAATGGAAAAGCAGCAGAGAAGATTAGTTCATGGAGTTTGCTATATGTAACATTATAAAATTGAAGACTTAGACAAAGGGGAGACTGGCAGTCGGGTCAAAGTTAATGAAGAAGGTATGAATGGAGCAATCAATTCATAAGGGAGTAGAGAAAAAGAAGAAAGGAAGTAGTGAATCAGGTTAAGGAGAAATGCTTAGAAGGTGAGGAAAGACTATGTACTTACCCGTGATCTCATTGAAGCTCAATGCTAAATACTGACTAAGAGAAAAGAAAAAGTAAGAGCACATAACACTGCTAGACATATGTATTTTGAAATCTACACTATTCAATAATTCACTCAATTAGTTAAATTATATAAAATGATTACTTGAAAAAAAGGATATGAATGTACCAAAATCTTAATAGCTATTTTTCTAATAGGGCTGAAGGGAGTTAATATGTACAGGGCGGAGGTGGCACTGAATCGAGAGATTGCTTTCCCTTTATTCAATACTATAAATGTCTGAAAAAGAAAACACAACACTGAATTTAGAATATATATTAAAGACATTTTAAGAAGAATAAATGACCATTATTTAGAAATGTTGCTTCATAAAGCAATGTAGTAATATAGTAATCATCAGTGTATGATGTGCTATGTAATATTTCTTTCTGAGCATCAAAATTTCTCCTAAATTTGCAAAGTGACATCAGATTTAAAGAAGAATATTTATGGTCAATGCTACAGGAATGCTAAGTATTTTCAATGAGTTTTAATATCATTTTTACTCACTACATTTATAATTTATACGCAACACAAAAATGAAGTCACTATTACTTCAGTTAGATAAAAGTTTTCTCAAGGGAATTTCAGGGTGTCCAGATGTATTCTTTGTTCTTACCCCCTGCTCCCCAGCCCCACCTCTGGTGGCATTTACAAAGCACATACTCTTTTCTTCTGTGGGGAGTCATGGAAAGGGCAAAAAATCCATGAAATGAAGATATATACCTGCTGAAAATCAAAGCAGCTTTTATAGATGCAGAGATTATAAAGAGAGATTTAGAGACTATTCGCTGAAATGTAAAAATCAACTTTTTTGTAAGTTGCTCTTGGGTTTCACTTTTACAAATAGTTGGGTTGATTTTCCCTCTAATTAGGAATATACCTAACAGCCCTTATCCAGTTCTCTCACTATAGGATGTCTGTAGTTTTCTGCCTAACCTAGAAAGACTTCTAAGTGAATGGGTCCATTACATGATCAGGCTCATCTAAAATCCTAGTAATACCTTAGATGAAAGAGAAGAAGTACAACATTCTTTACCAGACACCTTTAGAGTTACCCCAAAGCAACTACTAAATAGGACAAGGGAAAGCAACTTGACTAAGAACTCACTTTCTTATTGATATAGTATGGGTCCAGATCCTCCAGGGGCTCTGACACCATCCCTGGAGGAATGTCTCCATAAATAAATGGAAGGGATTTTCCTGCTTCCAAGTCACTATTTGGCTTTGGGCCATTTTCATCATCTTCATCCTTGCGCTCTTGTTTGGGTCTCTTAGCTTTCTCTTCTGCAATGCGTTGCTCAATAGCAGCAAGGGATTCCCTGGTGAAGAAGCGGAAGCTGTCAGGTCCTGGAGGTACCAGCACTGATTGTGCCATCTTTTCATCCTGCTCCTTTAATCACTGTTTAGCTCCTTGCATAAGAAAGTGCTATAGAAACAGGGGGAAAAATTCATTGTCCATTAGGATAAAGGGTAACTGTAGTAATTACATGACAATTAAATACAATATATATATAAATCAAGATCGCTCTTTCTCTCTCTTTTTTTTTTTTTTTTAAAGATGCTGTGTTTGTCATTCAGGGATTTCTCAGGCATGCATTCATCTGCTTGCATCGAGATCTATCTTTCACAGTCTGTAGGTGTTTATGAGGTAATCTAATCTCCTACACCCCAAATGCTTTAAGTGATTGTGTTACTTGGAGAAAAACATTCAAGTCAGAGCCTAGAAGAGGAGCTTGCTGTTTCATTTGTGTGACTATTTTGGCAGCCATCTTTTCAGCATCCTTTCTGAGAAAAATATCAGAGGTTCAAAACAAGAGATGAAAAATCACAAAATTATAGAACACAGACTCACGAGACACTTGCACGTATAGCTCTTATATCTCCATGTTTTCTTTGGTCCACTTGACCACCTTTTTAAAGCTTACCTGGTAAACAGCTCTGGAGATCCTGAAATCCCAGGCTATTTGGAAACAGGTAGACACTGCTGACAGCCAGGAAGGGGGAAGGAACAGGGAATGCCCAATTGTGATGGAACTGTTTGGAGCCTGCACAGGAAGGGGCTCAGCTCCTGCCAAACCCAGCAGGAAGTCACCCACGTCAGAGGTCTGTAGCTTGGACCCCTTGACTCAGCAACCTGCTGCTAACTAGTATAATTGCCGCTCCAATGAACACATTTGCAGTACCTCAGGGCATACTGTAGAGAGAACCCATTTTTTCCAATTGTGCCCATTTCACACACAAAAATATTCAGCATAGCAGTCAGAGTGGCCATTTCAGAATTTGGAGTTGAAGAAAATTAACTTTACCATTTATGTAAACCCCTATTACATGGGTCTTGGCTGGAACATAAATTGAGTTTCATTGGTGTTCTAATCATATTTTACTATACTAAAGTATGTAATTCAACACAGCACAGCAAATATGTAGAAATGTTTCCTTTGAATCAGCAACAGGAGTTTCTATTCTATTTAAAATAATTCAACCAAAAGACTCAGCTCCTGAATGTCATTTGTACAAAATCATTGGATCTGTTTTCCTTCTTTTTAGAACATGGATCCATTTAAACCCTCACACAACAGGAATGAGATGTGCCATTTAAAAATATAAAGTGAATTCTCTAAGAGTAAAATGAATTCATATCCACTTAATTTGTGCAGTACATGCCAGACAAAAGTGGCAACATAAAATAACATGCTATTGTAAACACTTCTTTAATTTTTTTTTAAGTAGACTTTTCAGACACCAGCAGGGCTGCAATGAGTTGATATTAGCAGACTGCCCTTTCAGTAACACAGTGCCTCCATGGCATCCCTCCCTTTTCTTATCCATCCCCAGAGACTCCTCATGCCTAGCTACAGGCATAGGTTTGAAGATGGTACCTGCACTCCTGGGGGAGGAAACTGCCTGGATACTCTAATAGAAGATTCATGCTAAAACATGCAACCAGCAGCTTCAAAATGAAAGATTCCCCAAGGATTCTACTGCAAAGGTAAAGAAGCATCACAGTGAATAAGCATAATAAAAAGGTAAAAACATTACCACTGCAGAATCTTTTACACCCAGAGTTAGGGATTGAGAAACTTGGCACCAGGAAGACTGCAGCTAAAATTCCATCATGCTTTTTTTTCTTTTTATTTCTTTGTTTTCTTTCTTTCTTTTTTTTTTTTTTTAATTCTCCTTCAAAGACCACACCTAACTTCCTGTAAAAGGATTGTGGTAACTGAAGTAAAAACGGGCATTTCCTGTGTGAGGACTACAAAATGAAATTATTATCACTACCACTAGAGGGCGGGGAAACGGTGACGACAAACACCGTGGTGCACACACAGACCCACATGAAGCAGTTCAAAGATTTCAGTAATGGAGTTCGGTTTTGAGGGTTTATTTTAAAACACAACGTTAAGACTTTGCTGACTTCGTTTAACTGTGCTAGCCAATAATGCTTCTGCTTCTGGCTCTCTCTCTGTGTGTGTGTGTGTGTGTGTAAATACTTACAAGTTGAAAAGAAAAACTCATAGATAACTGCAATTAAATTCCTGAAAGTTTCATGGAGTTACTATTAACTTCAGTCTCAAACCCAACGAAACCCAACCCAACCTACTGCTTTAAGTCTTTATGGGAGCAGAAATAACTCATCTTTCTCCCGGGGAGGACTGGCACCTTGTGGTTAGCAGTCTATCTGAAATCCAATAAGTTTACTTGCTAATTCAATACAGATATGACCTTTGTAACCTAAGTTACTTTTCCCTAGAAGAAAATTTCCCTTGAAGAGACAGTAGTTGCAGCCATATTATTCTCTCTTATCTAAATCATTTAAAAACAACCAAAAAAAGCAACTGAAAATGTAGTGATAGACTAAAGATTAGTCTTCTTATTTACTGTGTATCAATCACTGGGCTAAGCTATTTACATGTCTGCATAATTTCATCCTCGCAACATTCCTACCACATAAACACTCAGGATTTCTGTTTGAATACTGGAGAAAGTAGGTAAAGTGAGGTTAGGAAAGGTCACCTAAGATCAAATACATAGGGATCAAACTTAAGGGCTGTTTGACACTGAAGATTACAAACTTCACTCACTCATAAAATTCAGGTACCTCATGCCTAAAGTGAGAATTACGTTAAAATCATGCAGTGACAACAAAACTTTCAGCAACAGTTCTAATGATTAAATCAATAGGTTCTGCTTGTATTCTAGCCTCACCATTCTCATTAGAAAATGTATTTGTTGAAGACCAGCAAGAGGACCATATAGACAAAAAGGTTTTAGGTCAGTCAGAAAGGTCTCTTGTGGTTGTAAGAGACAGAAGACTGATTCAAACTGGCTTAAGCAAAGAAAATAAAAAGGTTTGTGGTTTATTGTCAAGGAGTTGATTTAAGGGATAATTCAGATGTTCGACGCTGAAGTGGTGTTACTAGCAGAGTTATGCTGTGGAATAATGGTGTGGCCGTATAAGATAAGCACTGGACTGCTACTGAAAGGTTAGTAGTTCAAACACACCAGTTTCTCCTTGGAAACTGTGCAGGGTCACTATGAGTCAGAACTGACTCAATGACACTAACAACCACAACAATATTTCTGTTGCAACCTTTGCGTCTGAATTGTATAGTGATACCTCTCTTCTGTAGATTCTTCCCTTAAAGTGAGATGCTCTAGTATTTCCTGTCTCAGTCTAGACTTAGACACAGCGAGTCATTAGGTTACTAATGAGATCTGTTCTTAGTGTGTCTTTTAAACTGATTTGTAGGTAAGCAGGAGCTGGTGTATATGATTTTTATTTAGCCTTACTTTGTTACAAGAAATGGCTTGAAGCCTTTTCAGTGATTTTAGTTGAACGTTATTGAGATGAAGAATTTATTGTGAGCAGGGGTTGGTTCAGTATTTTCAAAGTGAGAGTAAATCTACATAACATTAAAGGACAGTTATGAGTTGCCCATAAGTTAGATGTTCCTAGTGCATTTGTAATGCATTGTAATGAATTGTACCTTGTTTAACTTCCTTAAACTCCCCCATATTCGTGAGTGTCAGCTCTGAGTTCTGTGTGGCCATTGCAACACATTATCACACCCAGAAGAGCAGTAGATAGTGCTGTGGGTGGGACGATTTGTATTAGAAACTATAAAGAAAGTTGGTGAGTCGAGGCATATCTGACCTATGCCTATGAGCCTTGGGCTGATGTTAAGTTTGACTCTTCTTCTCCTTAGTTAAGTCAAAGGAAGTCAGACCACCCCTACAACCTTTCATACCACCTTTAATCTGATTATATATTGTTGTTGTTGTTAAGTGCTGTTCAGTCAGTTCTGACCCATAGCGACCCTGATAGGGTTTCCAAGGAGCAGCTGGAAGGTTTGAACTGTGGACTTTACGGTTCAAACTGACCTTGTGATCCAGTGCATTATCCTGTAGCATCATGCCAGGACTCCAATTATATGTTACTTTGCTTTTAATGGATGAATTATGCTGAGATTACACAAATTCACTTTGGGATCTTAATGAAGGTGAGGTCATTCTTTTGTTCCAAAAGTCGAAAATATTTCCACACCAGGATTCTACCTCAACATCTTTGCCTCTATCATACTGAGCACAGTGGGCCCAAGCACAGATGAAATGCTTACCCATTAACTTGACTGATGAATATTTTGAATCTGTAGTCCTTGACTTCTGTGTCAGTTACTTTAATTAGCTTTTTCTGACCATTTCTCCTGTACCTTTGGTTCGGATTTATCTTCTCCCTGCTGTTTATCAAAGGGGTCACCCAGTTTCTTCTGCAATACTGTATCTTGTCACCTTACATTACTGTCTTGGTTAGATGTCTCTGTTTCTATGAATCCAGCTTACATCTGCATAAGGATGCTCACTATCTAGATCCCCCGTCTTGAATCCTCAATTAGGATTCCATCACATATTCCCAGCAACCTAATGCAATTCTCCTTAGCAGTCTGTTCCCACAAATGAACTTTAAAAAAATTTTAGGAGTTTGGGGTTCTGTGTGACTGCATGAACTGGTATTGGCAATGAACTCTGAACTGGTCTTTTGATTTAATTCTGGTTCGAAAGTTTATCCCAATGAAGCAGTATGATGAAATGAGTTTCTTTATGCGACCTTTCCCTTGGTTCTATGGAAAACAACTTGGAAGATATTTTCTCCCTAGGCTCTGAGGAGTTTCCTTTTCTCCAGTTCTTTGGAGAAGTAACTTGGGAGTGCCATGTGGGAAAAGGGTGATATCAAAAATGGTGAAGAAACTGGATTGTGTGAGTATGTCTAACTACCTCCTCATAGGAATCAGCTCTGTTTTTGTTCTGATTTTGATCACTCACTCATTTAGTGTTTGTTTGTTTTTAATAGCATAAAATATATTAAGATATTTTTCTGCTTCAAAATCTGCAATGATTCTACATCTCACTCAGAGGAAAGGTCAAAGT